GGTGAAGATGAAGACTGCAAAGTTAACCACGGCCGCGACGACCTTCGTGAAGATTGTCAGGACATGCTACGGTGACGGTGACGATAGTGATGCTTATTCTGGTGATGATGGGGAGCACGGTGGTAAAGACGATAACGGTGACGACACGCACGAGGTTCTTAGCGGTGTTGGTGATGTTGTTGGTAGGACTGAGAATGAAAATGATGGTTCGGTTGTTGATGGTGATGATGTTGATGCTGATGCTGCTGCTGATGATGCTACTGATGGTGATGATGCTGCCGATGCTGATGGTAATGGTGATGATGCTGATGGTGGTGATGATGCCAATGACCTGGTGATGCATGGCACGCGACTTCGACGTGACGGCATGGCTCGCAGTATTGGGCCAACAGGCCCCCCCCCGTGATGTTGTTGTGGTTGTTGTTTGTGTTGCGGTTGAGTTGTTAGTGACTATGAATTTGATCATGGTTATGCTTTCGATCATGGGCACTATTACGATGACGTTGATTGATGAGGATGGGAATGGGGATGAGGGTGGGGAGGGGACTATCTATGACGTGCGCTTGTGACTGAGAGCGCTGTCCACATTCGTCCAGCGACCCCCTCGCTCGCGCTAGAACCTCATCCTTCGCGAAGCATTCGCGGTACATTCAGTCTGGGTACATACATAGATGTGTATAGACATGTGGGCGGTGACGTGCGTCGTGCGTCCATTCAGGAGCCATGTGCGTCGCAGTCGTTGTGTGTCATTCCCAGGCGTGTGTGGCCTGGGCCTACAGGCTCGGGCAATGTGGATGTGTGCGGTGCATCCGCGGGCATCAAAACCTACAGTCAAAAACCCTAATCAGGACGCGCGACTTTGCTCAGGGTACCCTTGCGTCCTTGCTCTTCCTTGCTCTTGCGTCCTTGAGGTTTTCGTCGTCCGCCGCCCCAAAAATCCCAACTTGGGCATTCAAGGGTCTTGGGTCCTTACCGCGCGTCCCTATTAGGGTTTTTGATTGTAGATGAGCCCAACCCCGTAAAGCAATCGAAACGTACGTTGGTAGTGGCTACGCCGAGCACCCTGATGAAGTCCCTGGGGAGTGCATCTTGAGCGAGGGGGGGGGGAGTTCATCTTGCGCGAGGAGGGGGGGGGGAGTTCATCTTGCGCGAGTGGGGGGGGAAAAGCAAGCTTCATATGCAGCTGGTGAACACTCACACGTGTTTCTCAAGGGGGGGCATGATGGATTGATGTGAAATTCGTTTGTGCAGCTCGATGTCTAATCCAGAGCACGTCCACAACAGTAGCGGATTGTCTTGCGTATTCTCTTGTTGGAGAGGGGGACGGAGTGTTGAGCTACAGAAATGTAGGCGCAGCTTTACCTTTTGGGATTCCAGGGCGTTTTGGATGATCACGCTCTTGAGCAATCGCATCGTGCTCTGCAGGCAGTACATGTACCCAGTAAGGTCGCACCGTGCGAGTGTAGTTCCACCGTGAGTGTGTACTTGCCTCTTGTCTGTGTCCCCATGCACGTCCGGTGCACCCAGAACGTACCGCCGCAGCTCGATTCGTTGTTTGTGGGTTTTCGCAGCGTGCTGCAGAGTTCTGGGCATGGCGGTCATGTCGGTATTGCACGACGGGTGTTGCCACCGAAGCTAGGGTTCGTCATGGACGCGGGAGCTGTCTCGAGGATGAGGGCGAGGGTTGTGGACGACGATCAATGGAGAGAAAGAATGTTGTCAAATAATTCCCAGGTGTCCAAAACATGTGTGAAACATGTCTTACGCATGCAAGAAACATGCTCTACGCATGGTTAGAAGATTTTTAAGCAATGCAAACACATACTGGGTTCAATGATCGGATTGTTTGGGTGTCCGTTGTCATGGTGCCCACAAGACGAGAGAGCAATGCTGCTGACAGGAGCCCGACGCGGCAGCTGTGGAGGCCTGCTGTCTCCACGTGCGGGTCTGGCTTTCGGATGTCATGGCTGTGGCGTTTTCTCTTGCTGCCTCTGCACGCCAGCCTCGCTCGGACGTGTACATGTTTCCTTCGGCGAGGAGCATCCTTGATCAATTGGCGAAAAAACCACGCACGAAACCAAAAACAAACACAGGGAATGGACGTCCGAGCGATGGCCAGTGCACGCCGGCCTCTCTTCTCGCCCTTCCACGCACCGATGCGGTGTGGGAGCAGTTTTGCCATGGGCCTGTCTCGCGGGCTTGGGGCAACGTGCCCATCTGTTGTGATGTGTGATGCCTTGCCAGGCAGTTCACCGAAGATGAAGCGTTTGTTCATCCAGCATGCCACATGGTGACATTCGATGAACAGGGAGGCGGATGATGGCAAGCAGGAGGAGGAGGAGGAGGAGGAGGAGGAGGAGGGCTAAGGGGGATGGAGGAACCGCAGGAGGGTGTTCAAGTAAGACGAGGGGGGTCGAGCAGTGGAGGAGGAAGACGATGCCAGTGCCCGCACTTTGACAGGTTGCTCGTGAGGGGGAAGGGGTGGTGAGGAAGGAGTATTGTTTTCGATGGGAGACTGCCGATGAAGAGAGGCTTGGCAAGGTCTGTAATCAAAAGAGACGGAGCTTCAGGAGGAGGGACTGGAGGAGCTGGAGGAGGAGGAGCTTCAAGGTCTGCAATCAAAGATGGGCTGGCAGAGGAGGAGGAGGAGGAGGAGGAGGAGGAGGAGCTAGGAGGAGCATGCCGGGAAGGAAGGGTGAGCAGGGGATTCGAGGAGGTGGCGTGCGAAAAGAGGAGGTGGGATAGGAATCGCGAGGGGAAGAGGCGGAGGAAGAAGGAGGCCTCGTTGGAGGAGGAGGAGGAGGAGGAGGAGGAGGGGAAGGAGGACGAGGAGGAGGACGAGGAGGAGGAGGAGGAGGAGGAGGAGGACGAGGACGAGGAGGAGGAGGAGTAGGAGGACGAGGAGGAGGCGTCAGGAGGAGTGGGAGAGCAGGAGGCTCGAGCGCTCGAGGCGGGACGACAGAGAGGCCGAGGCCAGGAGGGTGCCGGGCAGGCGCCCCCACAGGCCATGCTTGCAGCCCAGCGCGGGGAGCAGCGGGCGCCCCTGGAGGCAGCCACCGCCGCGGGCGGAGGCGGCGCCTCCGCCGGGGTGGGCGAGCTGCCCACGGCGGAGGCGGCGCCGTCGCCGGGCGCTTGCAGACCTTCCTCCTCCCCGTCCTCCCCTTCCTCCTCCTCATCCTCCTTCTCCTCCTCTCCTCTCCTCTCCTCTCCTTTCCTCTCGTCTCCTACTCCTCCTCCTCCTGCCTCCTCCTGCTGCCTCCTCCTCCTCCAGCCTCCTCCTCCTTCTCCTCATCCTGCTTCCTCCACCTCTTATTCCTCTCCCCCCCTCCCATCCGCGCTCGGAAGTGGTCCGCGCCCGCCCCAGACCTCCGACGAGGTGGTTCTGTCAATCCCGGAGTTTTCCAGTAGTCGTTCAGCTTCCAGGGCCCGTTTTTTGTCTGGTCTCTAGAGCCATCAGACAGGGATCTGGGACGAAACACTATCCCCAGGGAAGGGGTCGGGGTTTCTGGGGCCGCGGTTGGAGACAAATCATACGGAGGATGTCTGGGGCTCCGAGGGTCCGCCCCCCCCCCGCCCTCCCCCCCAGTCTGGGGTCCGGCGCCCTTGGCGCGGCGGGCCCATCGGGCAGTCCGTTCCTGAGCCCCACGGGGGGGGAGATGGCCCATGGGGGGATCGGCGTCACCCCAACATAGCATATGTGCGTGTCGCACCCCCAGGGGCGACGCGCGCACCGAGAAACCTTACAGTCTATGCGTGGTGGCGGGCGCTGTCCGGCCACGCCGCTCGGGACACGACACACCACAAGATGGGTATGCTAGATGATCGGGTCGGACGCGCGCCTCCAAGGAGGACACATAGTACTGGCATGCCTTTGTGCCTCCCACGGGACCCGAGGATCCAGCACCCAGTGCCAGCTGTACAGTGTCCACCGGGGCCGTAGGCGACCCGAGGAGGAGGAGGAGGAGGAGGAGGTGGAGGAGGGGGAGGAGGAGGAGGAGGAGGAGGAGGAGGAGGAGAAGGAGGAGGAGGAGGAGGAGAGAGGAGGAGGAGGAGAGAGGAGGAGGTCGGGTCGCCCAAGCCCCTCGGAGGAACTTTCCAGCGCCAGCCTCGCCCGTTCTCGAGCTCTCCTGCGCCGCGTGTGCCCCGCCCTGCGGGTGCCTCCCCGCTCCCGCCCGAGTCTTTTTCGCATTTTATTCAGGAATCGCGCTCTCGCTGGGGATTTCCTTACAATTTACTCAGGAATCGCTCTCCCGTTGCTCTGGAGTCGCGCTCTCGCTGGAGACTTGCTTGCAACTTACTGAAGAATGGCCTTGCGTTGGAATTTCTTATAATTTTCCCAAGCGCCGCGCTCCCGACACCCAGGCACCCAGGAGTCGCGCCCGTTGTGGCTCCATGTGCATGCCCTTCGTGGCCCCGCTGTCGCCATTCGTGTCCCCCTCAGTGTCCTACGTGGCCCAGTTGCTACCCTCAGTGGCCCCATAGTTGCCTTTTGTGGCCCCGCATTATCTGCATTTCGTGGCCCCCGCTCGTTCGCGCTCTTCGTGGCCCCATACGCATTCCCTTCGTGTCCCCGCTGTCGCCCTTCGTGGCCTACTTCGTGCCCTTCGTGGCCCTGCTGTCGTTCTCTCTCGCTCTCGCTTTCGCTCGTCGTCGCCGTCGTCGTCGTCGTCGCCGTCGTCTTCGACGTCGTCGTCGTCGTCGTCGTCGTCGTCGTCGTCGTCGTCGTCGGTCCCCTGTCCGTCCCTCTTGGGGTCGGGTCGACGGTCCGCGGCCGCCCCGCCGATCAGCGCTGCCGCTGGCCAGGCCGACGGTCCGCGGCCGCCCCGCCGCTTGCCGGGGCCCGGCCTGCAGGGAAGAAAGGTATACCCCCCAAAAGGGGTTCGATCGAAGACGAAGAGGGCGGGTATCGAGGGTTTCCTTCCTACGTCTCCGTCGGCTGCTCTGTTGGAGCGTCTTGTGGCTCTCCTGCCCGCCGCTGCTATGCGGTACCATCCCTTCGGGGCGTTCAGTTAGTTCCCTATGGGGCCACGACACGTGGGAGGGGTGCGCCGAAATTGGTTGGGAGACGCTATGCGGCACCACCACTTGCGGGGCTTCGGTGGATCTCCTTCTGTCCACGAAGAGTGGCGACCCCAGCGCGGGTGTTCAAGGTTGAACGCCGCCTGCGACCCAGAATCGATCGATGTTGAACGATCGGACGTTGCGGCAGCGGCCGATCGTTCAAGGTTGAACGATCTCTGCGGTGTCAAAAACCAACGCTGGGGTCGGCACGACACGAACCTGCCGTAGAGGTTGACACCAGCACCAGTTTCGGTGGTGCGCCTCCATCGATGGAAGACGATCCCCATCTCGGTGATGGTGGTAATGTTCTGGCTTCCGAGGTGGCCGAAGTGTTACCATCAGCACCGGAATCTCTAGTAGGATCATCCTCCCCCTGTGGAGGCAGCCCTCTGTCTTGGTGTTGGTGCCCATCTCCAGGCCTCCCAGAGGAGGACCCAGACCCCTGTTCATGATTCAAGCAGTGGCGAAGCGTCCTGGCTCGCCTATAGGCCCACCACAGAATGTTCCAAGGTCGGGGCGCAGTAAGACTCGAGCACGACGGGACTCGGGTTCGCCGATTCGTTGTTGACGAACCCGCCCCGGATTTTGACGGTCGCAGCGGGAGCTCGCGTCAGATTTCAGACTGGGCCTCGTCATTTCCACGATGGCCCCCTCTCAGGCCAGCCCGAGTCCCCCGAACCCGCGTCGTACGCCTCCCCGACTCTAGAGGAGGTCGAAAACAATACCCTGACTTATGAGATACACTTTTGGTCTGCGGGTCGAGAGCGGGCCTCTTCCGGTTAAGGACTAGGCGGGGCGCGCAAAGCACCAATTGGGCAGACAGGGCGTGGTTGGGCGGGGCCTCAGGCGGCCGGAGGGTGCGGGGAGCAGGCGGTGCCGAAGAGGACTTATGAGATACACGCTCACTGGAAGTTTCGACGAAGAGACAACGCCATCAACATAAACGTTTAGCGCCTCGCGCGGATCTCTTGGATCCGCGCCGGGCCCCCCTCGCTGGCGCGCGGAGCGCGCCAGTGGCGGCGCCGGAGGCGCCGTGAGGGGCCGGTGTTTCACCCTGCCTGGCATCGCTCGGACGTGATTGAGGACCATCCTGGACCATCGAGCAAACAAAAACACGCACGAGACCGAAAAATGCACGGGAAATGGACGTCCGAGCGATGGCGAGCCTGCGTCGTTGCTTGACAGCTGTCCCAGGGCCTGGCGATGGGCCCCCGCGAGGCCGAAGGTATGTAGCGGGCAAGGCGCCCGGCATGGTGTATGGTCCTGGGGCCCGCGCTCGGCCGCCGCTGGCGGCGGCGCGGTCCCAGGGGGGGGAGGGGGGCGATGGGCGGTCGAAGAGAGGAGGAGCTAGGAGGAGCAGGAGGAGGAGCTAGGCGGAGGAGGAGGAGGAGGAGGAGGAGGAGGAGGAGGAGGAGGAGGAGGAGGAACAGGAGGAGGAGCAGGGGGAGGAGGAGGAGGAGAGGAGGAGCAGGAGCAGGAGCAGGAGGAGGAGGAGGAGGAGGAGGAGGAGGAGGAGGAGGAGGAGGAGGAGGAGAGGTCTTCGGGACCACAGGCAGAGCCGCGCAAGGCCGGCGACGACGAGGACTCGGAGGAGGCCAAGCGGTGCGAGGAGCCGCAGCGCACGGGCGCGGAGCTGCTTGACGAAGCCCAGGAGGCAGGTGCCGCCGCGGGACGCGGGGCGCCGCCGACGGCCGAGGCTTCTGCGGAGGGCTGGCAAGGAAGCAATCCAGATCTCTCGAGGGACGGAACATCAACGAGCGCCTTTCGCTATTCGCAAAGTGCCTGCTCGCAAACGTCCGAACAAGAACACGTCTTCCTAGGTGTAATACATCGTGAATCCCCCGCGGCGGATGCGGGCCATTTGCGAGTAGTTACTTTGCGAGTAGTGGAACGCGCTTGTCTAAAACACGGGTGCCATGACCAAGATTCGAAGAAGAAACAACCGGATACACATGAACTGTTGGCGCTCCGCGCGGATTTCTTGGATCGGCGCTTGGGCCCCCCCCCCCCCGCGGTGCTTCAGGCGCCGTCCCTGGCACGCTCCGCGCGCAAGGGAGGGGGGTCCAGCGCTGATCCAAGAAATCCGCGCGGCCCGGCGAAAGTTTATGTTTATGAATCTGTTTGTCCCCCTAGCCATGACCAAGATGTCGCTCGAGGCCTCCTAGATGGGATCCGAGCAAATGTGGTGGGAGGATCGCGCCGGATCGCCGATGCATCGGCGATGCCGTTGCACGTGGAGCCCGATTCCCTCCAAGCCGACGTCGCCGATACATCGCCGACGTCGCCGATGCATCACCGAGGCATGCTCGATGGAGGCTGCGGGGGCCACGACCAGGATGGAGCCTATGTTTTGAGATCTGGGCGATGGCGGCCGCGACTGGCCCGCTCCCTCCCCCCTCACCCCCCGAATCGCGTCGCGCTCTGGTTGCCCACATCTGCGAAGATTCCTAAGAGGACTCCCTGTGATGTCTTCGAGGATTCTTCAAGGATGTCCGAAGATTCCTTCGAGGATGCCCCGAGGTTCTTCGAGGATTCTTCGAGGATCTCCCGAGATTTCCGGCGCCCCCCCCGCCGTGGTGTGATCGGGGGGGGCACATTTCCCCCCCCCCCCCGATCATGCCCATCAATTATCGCGAATCATCAAAATCTTAGCCTCTTAGATGGGGTCGGAGTAGATGCGGGCCGGAGGATCGCGCCGCATCGCCCATGCATCGGCGATGCATCAGCGGTGCGGCTCGATGTGGGGCCCAATTTTCTCCACGCCGACGTCGCCGATGCATCGTCGACGTCGCCAGTGCATGGCCGATGCATCGCCGATGCATCGGCGATGCATCGCCGATGTATTGGCGATGCGGCGACATCCTCCGACCCCATCTACTCGAACCCTATGTGGGGAGCCTCTACTCCCCCGATCACGCCCGCTTTTGCGAATAATAAAGCGCAGGCTCATGTTGCTGGATCTTGTCCATGCCGATCTTGCCCAAGTCGGCCGCCGCCGATTCGCGAGGGTGATGCACGGAGTGACGCTGACCAAGATCGACGCTGGCCAAGATCGGCACGGCATTTTCGCGTTCTGTTCTTGGTCATTGTCATGGTCCCCCTTGTTTTTTCCCGTGCAAAATCGCCGACCGTGTGATTTGTCGATTGGGGGATCGGCAGCATAATTGATTTACCCCAGAATTTCTGCCCCGCCGAATGTACGACAAATGCCTAAACTGTCCCGTAGATCTGCGAAACTTCTACGCGTTTCTGGCATATCCGGCGGGAAAACTAAGTTTGGAGCAAATCCATTTTCAAGTCGATGTTCTATCCGATCTTTTCGGTACGATCGGATTGGGTACGGAAAGAATTGGTACGAAGACCCGCGGCAGGTCTTGTCCATTGTGAACAGGGCTCGCTGTCGGTGTCGCTGTGGACGTTGTCCATTTGAGAGAGAGGGGGGCCGCCTGCCAAACAGCGGCCGCCCTCGGTTTCGGACAATATTTGTTGTTCGGCGTCGTGCCGATTTTTTTAAGTATCCATTTCGGGCGTCCAGCTTTTTTTCAGCTTGAGCCTTTCTCATTTCGAAGAACAGCGGCACTCATAATTTGCTCGAGGTCCGCGCGGATTCCTTGGATGCGCGCTGGGCCCTCCAGATGGGCGGCGCCGGAGGCGCCTCCAGGAGTGCCCATCAGGTAGGCGGAGTCGGGGTATCAGCAGACGGGGTAACAGGAAATTGCCAGTTCGAGGCAACAAACGCGCACTTTGTTGGAGTCTCTGTTTTTTTGCTTTCGCGTTCAGTGCAGCACCTGCCACAGGTTGTCTGCGTTGGAATTTCCTCGGCTGCTGCACTGCAGCTCTCTGTTTTGGGCCCTCCGTTTCCCGGTCTGTGGGGCATGTCTGCCGTTGTTCCGCAACTCGTTGCAGAACAATTGCAGCGGCATCTTCCGCGCTGCAGAAAAAAAAGACCGTGCAGTTTTTCCTTCCGGGCGTGGCAGTCTCTCCGGCCGGATCCCATGGTGATTATGTTGCCCTGTTTAGGTGTTACCCGTTTTAATCTGAGCCCAGCGCAGATCCAAGACATCCGCGCGGAGCTCAAACAGTTTGTGTTCATGATGGCTTCCTTTCTTCAAATGATGTTTTTTCCATTTGGACCTTCTTCCTCGAATTCGGCTTCCGGGATCCCCGCCGTTCTAGGCCCCCCGTTCTAGGCCCCGAGAGCGTCTGAGGCGGCTCGCGGGTCCGGAGGAAGGGGGTCGGGACCTCGCCGCGCATTTGAAATGGAAAATTGCACAAACATCCACTTTCGGAGCTCCGCGCGACTTTCTTGGATCTGCGCTGGGTCCCCCTGGCGGCGCCTCTGGCGCCGCCCCTTGCGCCTTTCGCGCGCCAGGGAGGGGGCTCTCAGCGGATCCAGGAAACCCTCGCGGAGTTCCAAAACTTGTGTTGTATCGTTGTTGTTGCCCAGTTGCCGCGACCAACGCCCGCATTCCTTTGGAGGCCCGGAGACGGGTGCCAACACCAACGCACGGGCATACATCAACTGGGGGAAGACGATCCTAGAATTCGGTGCTGGTGGCAATACTTCCGGCCACCCAGGAAGCCAAACTGGTATACCAGTATGACTTCGGTGGTGGCATACCACCACCGAGATCGGGAGCACCCTCCCTCTGTGGAGGCACACCGCCGATGTTGGCGTTGGTGCCAACCTCCAGGCCCTCCACTCCTGCGCCCAGGCCGAGCAGCCTCCCGGAGCACCCCCGGCGCCCAAGCGCCGCAGGCTGCCGGCAGCGTTCGTGGCCTGCGGCGCGGGCGCGGCCGCGGGCCCGGCGGAGCCCCTGGCGCTGCCCGCGGAGGAGGGCGCCGGTTTGGCAGCAGGGCTTGGTGCCTGGGAGGCCCTCCCTCCTTGGAGGAGGAGGAGGAGGAGGAGGAGGAGGAGGAGGAGGAGGAGGAGGAGGAGGAGGAGGGAAGGGAGGAGGAGGGAAGGGAGGAGGAGGAGGAGGAGGAGGAGGAGGAGGAGGAGGAGGAGGGGGAGGAGGGGGAGGAGGTCTGAGGTGGCCCAGCATGGGCTCTGGCGAGCAAGCAGGGGGGGGAGGTTCGAAGCGCTGGGTTCGGAACGGTGTTTTGTCTGTCTGCGGCCTCGGGGGGCCGTTGTCGGTCCCCGGGACGGACAACAAACGGATCGAGTGATTTTGAGCGGATTTTGCCGGATTTGGAGCGGATGTTGCCCTGTCCCCCCTTCCTGACGATTCTCTGCGGGGGCGCCGCCACGCAGAGCCTCTGAGGACTTGACATTTTGAAGTCCAGTTGTCTCCATTACTTTAGTAGGGAAGGCATGGGGGCGCAGACCAGCTGCAGTTCCTGCCCATTTTGGGCAGGACTCGGCTGTCGGTGCCGCCACGGGCATTGCCCACTTGAGGCAGAAGATCGCCTGCCCAACAGTAGTCTATTGGCTTTCCGGAAACGTTTGCTGTTGAGCATCGTGCCATTTTCGTCCGTGCCCATCTCGGGCGTGTCAGAAGGCCATCTGAAAACATGGGCCCTCGAAGCAAGGCGCAGTTGCATCCCCCTCGATTTCTGAGCATCGTCAGCATGATTCCTGCCTCTTCGGCCCAAGGGTGCCCGGGCTTCTTGGCTCTCTCTGGGCGCTGGGTGTCCTTGTGTTCCTATCCGTCTGACTGACTTGACTGTATTCGTGGGCAGGGAAGAGGAGGAGGAGGCGGGGGAGGAGGATGATGATGTTGCTGCTGATGATGCTGCTGCTGATGCTGCTGCTGTTGATGATGATGATGAGGAGGAGGAGGAGGAGGAGGAGGAGGAGGAGGAGGAGGAGGAGGTGGCGGAGAGGGAGGAGACGACGGAGGAGCAGAGGGAGGAGGAGGAGGAGGAGGAGGAGGAGGAGGAGGAGGAGGGAGAGGAGGAGGAGGAGGAGGAGGAGGAGGAGGAGGAGGAGGAGGAGGAGGAGGCATATCCACGGCCACGCGGGCCAGCCCCCCTGAAACGCGAGCCCGTCGCGGCGGGGCGCGGTCTCGCGGATGGCCCGCGCGCGGGGCGGGCCTGCCCATGCGGCCGCGCGCGTATCCGCGGGGCCGCGCCCAAAGCGCAGGAGCCTGCGGATATGTATGCGTTCGCCGCTCGTGCCGTATGTTTGGAGACGTGGCCAGACGTCGGAGGCGCCTGGGATATTTGGCGGCGTGCCCGGAGGGTCGCCGGGGTGTGGCTCTGGGCCTGGCACGGGGCCCCGTGTCCAGGGCCGCGCGAAGGGCGCGGCGGGGGGGGGGGGGGGCGCTCAGGGATGCACCCCCCCCAGCCGCCCCTTTCTCGCCGAGAGGGGCCCCAGGGCCCACCCCGCCCAGGGACGCGCGGGTTCGCCATCTGGGGGGCCCGGCTCCGGTTCAGCGACGGTGCACTGCCCATGCAGGATCGATATATACCTTTCCTCCCCTTGGATGCTGCCCGCTCACTCTGGGCTCTACTCTCGACCGAAGCGGCGCTGGCGGCCTGCGACTGGAGCGGCTGGGGTGGTCGGCAAGGTGAGCCAGTGCTGCCACCTCATCGGCCTGCGTCGGGCTGCCTTCGGCTTGGCAGGCGAGCCCACGTTCGGGGCACGCTCGAGCAGATGGCGGCGGCCGAGGACCTCAGCGCGACGGGGGCCGCAGCCTGGCGAGGCACGGCGGCCGCCGAGGGAGCCCGTGGTCCAAGCAGTGATTGAGGATCCAGTGAAGAGGCAGCGGTGAGCGTCCACGACCGCCCTGGGCGGACCATGCGGCAGGACGCCGCGGCGTGCCTCAGGCGGGTCGACCAGGCGAGGAGCGGCCGAGGCCCCGCCACCGCGGGGTCCGTGCGACGCCGGGGGCCCGCGCCGCTCGGCGGAGCCGCGCGACCGCAGGCGGGAGCCGCCGCGGACCAGAGGCGCAAGAGGGGGCTCGGTGGAAGCCTCGCTGGGTCGAGCCGCTGAGGAGATGGGCGCGCCCTCGCGTGAGACGGCGCGGTCGCGACGAGGCATCGGGACATGCACCCGCTGTGTTGTGACGTCGCCCCGCCTCGGCGCCTGTCTGCTTCCTGGTGCAGACGGCCGAGGTACGTGGCGTCCTCGGGGGGAACGGGATCGGCCTCCTCTTCGACGACACCGCCCACACCGCGGGCTGACGGAGGCGAGGGCAGCGCGGGACGCTGCAGGGCGCTGGGAGCGGTCGAACGTGGTACCATCCACGGCGGCGAGAAGGCAACGGGCTCGGAGCGCCCGATCCTTGCGGCAATGGCCCCTTGTTTGGGGGGCCGCTGCGGCCAGGAAATACGGCTGGGCGGCAGCAAGCGAGGAACTCGTCGGCACGCGCTGGCAGCTGCGGAGGAAGGCCCCCCCACCTTGGGCGTGGGCAGGACAGACTGCCAGAGCAGGACCCCGGATCTTCTCGACGCTTCTTCCCTGGCGCGAAGCCGCCCGCGAGACCAGGGGGGGCCCAGTCGAGGGCGAACCTCAGGATGACGTAAGCGACGGGCACCCCAACGTGGGGGGCACCCAGGCAGCACCCAGGTCCAAGCGGACCGAGCGGACGCTGGCGGTCCTGGCCACCGAGCGCGCGGAGGGCGGGGCCCATGCAAGGCGGCGCCGAGCCTGGAACGGTTCCCGCGCGAGGGGAACCGGGAGGCGGAGGACCCCAGCAGCGTGAAGAGGACGGACCTCGACGAGCCTCTCGGCACACACGCGGTGGTCGCGGGCCCGGGAGGCACGTGCCCCACGCGATGACTTGGGCCACCAGGCGACGACGCGAACCGACCGCCGAGGAGAGGCCGGCCGCTCCGCGCGGGGACAGCCCCGTCCGGTGCACCGCGGACGGGGCCGCGCAGGCGGAGCGGGAACAGGCGCAGCAGCGCCCCGACAGGAGAGGGCACCGGCGAGGAGGCGGCAGTCTGCGAGCGGCCCAGGAGGCGGTACCCACCGCGCACCGTGGTGCGGTCGCCTGGGTCCTGGGTGGCTCAAGCCTCCTCGCGCCTGGGGGGGGGGCCCCCGCCAGACCCCGCGCTCCCCCCCTAGGAGCCCTACGGCCGCCTCGGTGGGCCAGGGCCCCGTAGGTGGGAGTGGGGGTCGGGCTTGTGGGGATGCCGCAGGGCCGAGGGGAGACCCTCGAGCACCTTCCCGCGTGTCCTCGGGACGGTCTCGGGCTCCTTCGTCCTCCCCGGGGGCCGCCGCCCCTTCCGACGCGGGCGGGGGCGGGGCTCCCGGAGGGAGGGGGGCCTAACCGCGGAGGGCCTGATGGAGGCTGCGCAGGGCTTCGAGGCCGCGCCTCTCGGCCTCTGCGCGTGCGCGAGCGGCGCGCAGCGGGGGCAAAAGAAGTTGGAAGCAGCAGCGAGGTGGGAAGGCGGTCGGGCCCCTCGACGCTAGCAGTGTCTGGGGCGGGGGCCCGGGCATCCACCTCAGCTCCAGGCTCTTATTTTTAAGGCTTCTTGGTGAATCACCCCCGTCGCAGAAAAGCCGTGTCTGGGGAGTGGCAGTTGCCTTGCCCTGCGCGCAAGGCACCCGGCGCCGCCACCCATAAAAGGGGAATCGCCGCCATTTCATGCTTCTGATTCTACCGCTATCGCACCGATTTTAGGAGACTAGTCGAGGGTACACCCCCGCGTGCCAGCACGAGTGTGCAGCCTCTTCCCTGGCGTCCGTAGCCATTTGAGTTCGAGCGCCTTGCCATTTTTGTATAACTCACCCACAATCACCCTGCCTACAGGGCGCCCGCCACCGTCGCCCATAAAAAAGGGATTACCGTCAACTCATGTCTGGTACCATCTCGCACCGCCCGGAAGGCTCATCGAGGACATTGAACAGTTGCCCAACATCGGTTCTGCAGAGGGGGCGGCGACTTGCCAAGCACGCTTGCTTCGCACGCGGGAGTCGCTCCCAGAACTCATTGAAGAAACAAAGCTTTACCATATAACAAAGGCGCAGTCGATTATGCCCACTGCATGCAGGCACGGTGGCGGATAAAAGGCAAACAAGCAAGTGCAGAAGTGGTAGATAGGATACGGGAGTAGGCTCGACGAAAACGGGAAACAGGAGGATTGGAGGAGGTGGAAACAGCAGGCAGGAGGAGGAGGAAGAGGAGCACGAAGAGGAGGAGGAACAGCAGGAGGAAGAGGAGGAGGAGGAGGAGGAGGAGGAAGAACAGGAGGGAGCAGGAGGAAAAGGAGCAGCAGGAGGAGGATGGAGGCCCGGGGGCAAGAATCGAGCGGCCTCGAGGAGGGGAGCGGGTGCAGAGGAGGCAGAGGAGCGGCAGTGCGGAGGCGCAGGGCGGAGCTGCAGCAGGGGAGCGGCACGGGGCCCCTCGCGCGCGTTCCCGCAGGCGGCAGCCGCGCCCGACGGGCGCGAGGTGGAGCGCGACACGCCTGGTGCCGACGCTCCCGCGGCAAGCGCCGCGGAAGGGCCGCCGGCGGAGGAGGCGGCGGCTGGGGGTGGTGCTGGTGGCCGTGTCTCGGGGTGGCCTCTCGAGGCGCCTCGCAAAGGCAGCGCAGATGTGACGCCTGGGGCGGGTCTGTGCCGCCGTTCATGTTGCGAGGTCCGACTGCATGTGAATTCATGCGGGCACCTTGGGCACCTACTGTCGGGTTGTGTCGCCCAGGTGTTCCGTCCGGGCGCACAGAAAAGGAGGCGGCGTCCTGCGTCGCCCCGCGAGATTGGCCTCGTGGCGCACGCGTGAGAAGCAGGAGGGGTCGGTGAATCAAGGGCGGGGTCCTGAGGGATGGGGTCATAAGGACAGGAACGGGGTCAAGTGCGGTTTGACATTGTTTGGAACACTTCGTCATCAGGACCCGATCTTTCAGGACACCGTAGGACGCGCGCGCCAGGGCTGGGGGGCAGGCAGCGTGGTCGGGAGGGGCTTCAAGAGGGGGGTCATTGCGAGGGGGGGTCTCATGGCCGGGGCTGTGATGCATCCGCCAGTTCCAGGGCGCCTCTTATTGTTTTAGTACGTCCGTTGGCCCCCCCCTTGGGCCGCGCACGTGCTTCGGGCCGTGATTTTTCGAACCCACGTCTTGGACGCCCCCTTCCTAGATGCCCCTGATGTGGCTACCACGCCCAACAGCAGTGCCCGCTCATGCGGAACACGATTTAACGCCACCATGGGTCCATCGGGCAACCGGTCTTTTCATCGTAACAGCAATGCCTGCTAATCTGACGACGCTTGTTGTCCAAATCGGCCAGGATTGTTGTCCAAATGACTTTTGCCAGGCAAGCTCCGAATCCCGAAAGACAGCTGCTGATGATCATCGTGCCCATACTTTCCGGTACCGTTCCGGGCGTGCAGCGAGGAGGAGGAGGAGGAGGAGGAGGAGGAGGAGGAGGAGGAGGAGGAGGAGGAGGAGGAGGAGGAGGAGGAGGAGGAGGAGGAGGAGGAGTGGAGGAGGAGGAGGAGGAGGAGGAGGAGGAGGAGGAGAGGGGAGAGAGGGAGGAGAGGGGAGGGAGGAGAGGAGGAGGAGGAGGAGGAGGAGGAGGAGGAGGAGGAGGAGGAGGAGGAGGAGGAGGAGGAGGAGGAGGAGGAGGAAGAAGAGCTAGGTGCGCTCGCGTCATATCTGACATCCTACCCCTCCCTCCCATCCGTTACCATGGCGCAGATCCCCCCTCTACTCGCTCAGTCGGATGTCGAGCAGGGCAATGATCCCAAAAGGGTACGCGATGCATTGTAGAACATTGAGCACCGCAAAGCGTAGTATCAACCTAGCATTGCATTGCATGCCGTGGCATGGCACGGGAAATGACGCCAGCGCTGCAGCGGGAGCACGAGTCGAAACGAGCGGAAGCGCGGAAATGAGGCCAGCGCTGCAGCGGGAGCACGATTCGGAACGAGCGGAAGCACGGAAATGAGGCCAGCGCTGCAGCGGGAGCACGATTCGGAATGAACGGGGCCCGAAAACGAGGCCGGTGCCTCAGCGAGAGCAGCATTTTGGAAACAAATGCAGGCGACAACCCAACTCCGGGGAAACCTGTGTGTAAAAAACAGTACGCGGGGGGGGGTCGAGCACTTTCAAACCGTCATCAGGGGAAGAGGGAGAGTAGTATTCATATTGAGTAATTGTGGAGGAGGAGGAGGAGGAGAAGGAGGAGGAGTGGGACTGCCCGCCCCGTCGTCCGAAGACTCGCTGGTCGCTGAAGTCGAAGAGGAAAAAAGCGAGGACGGCGCTGGAAGCAGATTGGGATCTGGATCCCAAACAACAAATCACAGAGGAAGAACAGAAACACTTTTTTTGATCCGCGGGTCGAGAGCGAGCCTCTTCCAGTCAAGAACAAAAGCGCATAAACAGAAACTTTCAGCGCTCATCGCGGATTTTTTTGGATCTGCACGCACTCTTCGCGCCAGGGAGGAGAGCCCAGCCCAAATCAAAGAAATCCGCGCGGAGCGTCGAACGTTTATGTTTATGTGTGTGTGTTTCTTCCGTTATGGAAATATGCATTTTTGGGAGGAATTCCTGATCCCAATCTGCTTCCAGCGCCTTCCTGCTTCAATATTCGATCTTCTTTTGCTGCGCTTTGCTATGTTATGCGAGGGCCCGAGCCCAATCTGCTTTATCCGCCTTCCTGCTTCATGTGCTCACCTACCTCCGGCTGGTGTGTAAGAGTTGCGGCGGCCCGGATTGCCGCGTTGGTGAACAGCGTCGGGGTGGATCTTTCTCTCTCAGTATTCGCACTGGACAGCCTTTCTCTGCGGGGCCCCCAGCAGGCCCGAACCCCCTTCCCCAGGGCCTGGGTTTCTGCCCGCGTCGCGTGCTGTTGGTCCCGGGGCGCGGCGAGGGCCCCCAGAGGCCGAAAGCGTTCCGCCGTGATTTTGGACGACGCCAGCATACGGTCAGGAACTACAGTCGGGTCCCTGAAGAAGGAACCCTTTTCGTTGGGGAGGGGCTCCGTGTTCCGTAATTGTTTCACAGCTTGCCTCAGGGTTTCCTCATGTTTTCAGTGGGAAGTCGAAGTTCAACTTATAGTAGAAAGGGGCCTCGTTCCTTATTTAGGGTTCCTTAGGTCAACGCCCCGACTGTATTGGATAGCGTGTCGCTCCGCCGGTTCTGGCCCACCAAGCTTCGGCGCCACACGCGATCCACTTCCGGGTCCAGGCGTCGACGCCCAGAGCTTCTCTGTGCCTCCCGCCCCGCGGACCGGCGCGGAGCGACACGCCACCCGCTCGCTGGGCACAGCGTGTCGCCGGAGCCGCCGCCGCGACAGGCTGTCCAGTCAGAGGCGACGATAGGGGCGAATAGCCCAGGAGAGAGCAATACATGTATTCAGGTGTGCCGGTGATCTATGTCTTCGAAAAGGCCCCCCAGGCGAATACGCGTAATGCCCGCCCCTGGGCTATTCGCCCCTATCGTCGCCCCCGATCCAGAAGTTCCTGACCGTATCTGGGGAGGCGGAGGGCTGTAGAGCGGAGACTCTGTGGCAATTCGTCGGGGCCTCCCATACCAGTTGGCTGGCTCTTGCGAATCGACGCTCAACTACGCTAAATCGACGCTAATCGGCGCTGATCGATGCGAAATCGGCGCTGTCCCGCCGACTACCAGACGCTGGCCGACGCTTATGCACGCTCGAGGCCGAATTGCGAGGGCTTGCAAGGCTCCCATGATTTGCTCCCGAAGGAGACGGAGGAGCCGCAGGGATCAGACTCGGCGGCGAAATCCGAACCCTGCCCTCGCCGATGAACGCTTCAGGCAACTCCATGCGCGGCGGGGCTAGGGCTCAGAATTCGTCGAACACGTGGCGAAGTCCGAGCCCTATCCCCGCTTCCCATCGGTTCGGGAGAAGCGGTGGCCTCAGCTGCCCCGGTGCGCCCGTCTTGAAACGCAAGGCGCAGCGTGTGCAAGCCGTCCGTGCCGACACGCTGCGTGTTGGCTCGACATGCTGGTCCAGGTGCTGGGCGACTTTCTCGCGCCAGACCTGCGCAGTGATCCAGTCTGCGCGTGGAGCTCGGTGCCGACACGCTGTACGTGTTGCGTCGTGCGCCTCGGGGCAGCTAAGGCGGTGAGGAGGAGGAGGCGGAGGAGGAGGAGGAGGAGGAGGAGCGAGAAAGCGAGGAGGAGGAGGAGGAGGAGGAGGAGGAGGAGGAGCGCGAAAGCGAGGAGAAGCGAGAAAGCGAGGAGGAGGAGCGAGAAAGCGAGAAAGCGAGGAGGAGGAGCGAGAAATCGAGGAGGAGGAGGAGGAGCGAGAAAGCGTGGAGGAGGAGGAGGAGCAGGAGCAGGAGGAGGAGGAGGAGGAGGAGGAGGAGGCGGAGGAGGAGGAGGAGGAGGAGGAGGAGGGAAAGGAGAAAGCGAGGAAAGGAGGGAGGAGGAGGAGGAGGAGGAGGAGGAGGAGGGAGGAGGGGCCTGAGGGCTCGGATGCCGCCGCCGGCAGCCCCCCCCCCTCGGCCAGGCGGCGCCCGCGCCCGGCGGCCCCGCGGCGCGGGCCGCCGCCCGGCGCCGCCGCGGGCGCCGCGGGCGGGCCGCCGCGGGCGAGGCGGCGTCGGACCCCCGGCCGCCGCCTGCGGCAGGGGGCGCCGAGCGGAGCGCGGCGCGGAGGGCCTCAGGAGGAGAGGGGGAGAGAGGGGGAGGAGGAGGAGGAGGAGGAGGAGGAGGAGGAGGAGGAGGAGGAGGAGGAGAAGAGGAGGAGGGAAAGGAGGAGGAGGAGGGAAAGGAGGAGGAGGAGGAGGGGAGGAGGAGGAGGAGGAGGAGGAGGGAAAGGAGGAGGAGGAGGAGGAGAAGAAGGAAGGAGGAGAAGGGTGAAATCGGAAATGCCGCTTCGATGGATGTTCGAAGCTTGAATCTGCAAGAGGTGAATCCCAAGACGGATTGATTTTCGAGGTGCAGAAGCCCATTTGGATTTCACCCTGGGCCCTCCACCCCCCCTTTCCCTATCCTTATGTCGGGCGTGTCCCCCTACAGGGGGATTTTCGAGGAAACATAAAAAGTACCCGAAAAATAATAAAAAGATAGTCCAAACATAGTCTGTGGGGACTATTGTTTGAGCATTTGTTCGCCTTTTTGGTGTATTTTTTGGGTATTTCTGATTTTTCATCGAAAATCCCCCTGTTGGGGGACACGCCCGACATAAAGATAGGGAAAGGGGGGGTTACGAAATCTGCTGCATGCAGCTGGTTTCGGCCCCACCGAGGGGCCCATTCCTCCACGCATGGCCGCCTGTGGCACCGGGAGGCGCCGGGAAAATCAGATGCGTGAGCCGATTCTCAAACCCCCGCTTTGCTATCCCCCCCTTTCGCCCGGCCCGAGTGGCGATGCTTACGATTCGATCCGACGTCGATCCGGCTTGGGATTCCGATTGCGTTTCCGATTTCTCAATCTGCCGACTTCTGCCGACTCGACTCCCCACGACTTGGCAGCCGGTCTCCGCCGATCCGATCCATTTCGATCGCCGGTTCGACTCATTGACTCTCCGCTCTCCTGCTTGGGATTCCGATTAGGTTTCCGATTTCTCATTCTGCCGACTTCTGCCGATTCGACTCCTCACGACTTGGCAGCCTGTCTCCGCCGATCCGATCCATTTCGATCGCCGCTTCGACGCATCGACTCTCCGCTCTCCTGGAGCGGTGCAGCCGGGTGCGGAGAGGGGAAGCCTGCAGCCACGAGCTGGCTAGCACTCCGCAGAGGAGGAAGATGCAATGGAGGATGACGATTAATAAATGACCGGGGGTCGTGTTCACGCGGCGGCGCCCGGGATGACGATTAGAAAAAACCGGCCGCGGGCTGGAAAACTATTTTTTCCTCGTTCTCCTCTAGTCGGAAAACTATGCAGAAATAGCAGGGAACTATTTTTACCGTTCTCTCTTATTTTTTGATTAATCGTCATCCCGCATTAGCACTCATGCATGACCCACAGAAATCCGCACGACATTCACTTCGAAGTCCAGAAAGAACTGATCTAGGACACTCCGGGCCCATCCTATTGTTTCCCGAACGAAATCAACTCTGCGATGTTGGCACCATGAGACGTGGGGGGAGTGCGAAGGAAAAAGGCCTTCTCAGAAGGCGGCGGGGCTGCTCGGAAGCCCCCCAGAGCCTTCTGAGAGGTTTCTGTTCCTGCGTCTTCGGGGCAGGCGTCGAAAGCTTCTCAGGGAGTGGGGGGGGGCTTCGGAGCGGTCTGGGAGGGCCCGCCCCTCCTCACTTCCCCCCTGGGTTCGCCGCTGAATGTCGCCTGACTTCCACACGTCGCTTTGCGCGAGGCAAGATTCTGGTTTCTTGCCCGTCCCTGGAGAAGACCAGCCCTCCGGCCCATGCCACGCAGCGCAGAGCGCGCTCGACTTCGAACCCCTGCGGGCAGCCTGCAGCCATCATGCTGCCACCAGAGGCTGGCGGCACGCACAACGGGGGTAGGGGGAGGGGGGGCAGGCTTCTTAGAAGAAGGCTGCTTATTCGAAGGCGCGGGCCTTCATGTGGGATGACGATGAATAAAAAATGGGGGAGAGCGATTGAAAACATAGTTTTCCAGTCCGCGGCCCGTTTTTTTCTAATCATCATCCCGGGCGCCGCCGCGTGAACACGACCCCCGGTCATTTATCAATCGTCATCCTCCATTACGAAGCATCCGCGTGAAGTTCACGTCGCCTTTACGCTGGCCCCGTGGGGGCTCTGCCAAGACAGCGATCCACGCAAGAACCCGCCGCAGCACGTCTTGCAAGGTCGGTGCCATGGCATCGGCCGCCGTGGCCCTCGCCGTCCGAAGCCTGGGCGCCCGAGTTATCCGGGGTAGCTCGGGCCAGGGGCAACTCGGGTGCGGCTTCTCGAAAAACGAGCCCGAGTTAGCCCTGACCCGAGTCACCCCTGATGATGTGGGGTTCTGGGCGCCCGAGTTATCCGGGGTAGCTCGGGCCCGGGGTAACTCGGGTTCGGATCCCCGAAACACGAACCCGAGTTAGCCCTGACCCGAGTTACCCCTGATGATTCGGCCCTCGCCGTCCGAAGCCGTCTGGGCTCGGGCCGCCTCCGCTCGGGCGGCATGGCGCGCCGCGGGGGGGCCGCCTCGGGCCGGCCCTCCCCGGGTGCTGCCCCGCGGGGCCCTGCGCGGCGCAGGGGCGGCGGGGGCGTGCCGCTGCCGCCGCGAGATCCGACGGGGCCGCAGGAGGTCTTTCGTTCTGCAGTCGTCGTCGTGGTCGCAGGCGTCGTCGTAGGCGTCGTCGTAGTCCCACAGCCCTAAAACGACGCGAAGATCGGGACAAAGTCAGAACGGGATAACTCGAAATCTCTGAGAATCGGCGGGCTTGGAGGATGTATTGGGCGCCGCGGCCGCTCCAGAGCGTTCCGGAACGCTCTGAGAGCGCTCCGGGACGCTTTGGAGCGATTTATCCCGATCCTAGCCCTGTTTTAAGCCCTCCGCGAAACTTACCGCGCAGGGTTTGCCGGCCCCCCTCGCCCCCGATTTGAAATCAGTCGTCATCGCTCTGGTGCGGCGGGTGCTTCGGAGGAGTGACAGGTATCCATTTCCGGTGGGGCCCCAGGCCTCCAATGAGGTCGCCGAGGAGATATGGCTACAGTTTCCAGCTAATTGGGCAAGGGGGGCTCCTCAAGGTGACCGAACCCGGTGAGCGAGCAAAAACGCAACCCCGCGTCACGACCCGAGCCCCAGATCCCCTCGCTCCTGCGCCCCCTCCCCTCCTGCCGCCGCACCGATCCCTCCGTGAGGGGCCCCCGGCGCCCGCCGCGGCCCCGCGACGAAGATATGACGCCCCTCCCCGCGAGCGCGGCCAGAAGCGTGGCAGCGCCCCGGACCTCGGGGTAGCCCATAGGCCCCCGCCGCCCCCCAATAAGACGGCAGCACCGCTCAGCAGCATGGCGCGCCTCGGGCGCGCGCCGGCCAGGCTGGGCCTGCGCCCGCGCCCCGCGGCGCCGGCCGCGGCCCGCGCGCGCCGCGGGCCCGCGAGGCCGGCGCGCCCCGCGGGCGCCGCCGACGGGCTCGCGGCGCTGCGCGTGCGGCTGGGCGTCTGCGGCGGCCTCGGCGGGGTGCTGCTCGCCACGCAGGCCTACGGCCGGCGCGTAGGCGCCCCGCGGGAGGACGACCCTGAGGCTCGGAGCAGCGGCGAAGCGTCCCTTACCAGCCTCGAACGTATCCCTATCCCTAAGATTGACACGCCAAAAGGCGATGACAATCTTAGGGATTCGCTCTCAGAAAATAATTAAGGGAATCCTTAAGATTGGCATCGTGATGAGGAGATGCCCAGCATAGGGATAGGAATATGTTCCAGGCTGGTAAGTCCCGACCTGCCCACGTCAGGCCCACCATGCCCCAGGCTCCTCTCGCGGCTTGCACGAGAGACCCCCAGGGCGTTTCTGGCCGAGGCCGCCGCGCGCCACACGTCGGCTCGGCATGTTCTAAGATCATGGTGTGAACGATTGGAACACTCCTTTGTGCTAAGAGCACTTCGTGGCACAGTCAGCCCGCACAGTAAGGACGTGTAGCCTTCCCAAAGGTACCACCGCATCCTTGCCCTCCTCGGTCCATCCTTGGCCACTTTCATGGGCCGCGCCCCGCTCGAAAAGCTCCGGAATAGGCGTCCAAGGCCCTCGCACCCTCATCGCGCATCCTTGCTCTATGGGTTGAGCGTAGACCAAGCGAAATCCCAGAGATCCGATGTCGTGATTTTTTCAATGCGCGGTCCCCAGAAGTCTCGACCCATTCCCCAGCACCGGTTTTTCGTACCGAGTCGTTTTCTTGCGGCCCCCGGGCCCGGCGAGGGCCCCTGGAGGCGAACATATAGGGAAACCTCCCGCCGTGATTTTTTTCATTGCCCCAGGGGGTCTGGGTTCCCTGCTCCACGAGGGCGCCTGCCACCCGGAGTACGCGTGGGTCTCGGGCGCCCGCGGCCCCTTCGCTGGCCTCGACAGCCGGGCCCTGGCCGTGGGGCCGCTGGGCGCCTGCTGCGGCTCCGCGGCGCTGGCCGTGCTCACCGCCGTGTGGTTTCCGGGCCGCGTCGCGTGGGTGGCGATGAACTCGCAGCTGCACGAGGTGCCCTCCTCCCCCTCCCCCTCCTCCTCCTCCTCCTCCTCCTCCTCCTCCTCCTCCTCCTCCCCTCCTCCTCCTCCTCCTCTCCTTTCTCCTCCTCCTCCTCTCCTCCTCCCCTCCTCCTCCTCCTCTCCTTCCTCCTCCTCCCCCTCCTCCTCCTCCTCCTCCTCCCCCTCCTCCCGTCACGCGAGAGCAAGGGACCCGGGGTGTACAGAACCCCCCACCCCGACGCGCCGATTCGCGAGTTGTCCGCTCTCGGTTCGCGGGAGGGCGCCGCGGCCGTCCTTCTCCGGGCTTGCGCCCGCCAGGCTTGGGCCCGAGAGCAGAGATCGGGGGTGGCGATAAGTTCGCAGCTGCACGAGGTGCTTGTCGTTCGAGCAGTGGCGAGGCGTCTTGGCCCACCTCCAGGCCCACCAAAGACTCTTCTGATAACCTTCTGTTGTGGTCTGCACGAAGAAATCTTCGTAGCACATGTCTGGCTGAGGCTGTCTTGTCTGAACACATCGGGTTGATGATCTAATAACCTTTTTACTACTGTTCGAACATGTTTGGGTTCTAAGAACATCTGGTGGTAGGCCTTGGGACTGCCGGGACGGGCGGTCCCTGCTCGAGAGCAGGAGATCGGGGGCGGGCAGAGCCCCCACCGCACACGTCGATTGGTGAATTGTCCGTTGTGGGATTCTCGAGAGGGCGCCGCGGCCGTCATCTTCCAGGCTTGCGCCCGCCAGGTTTGGGCCCGATGCCGTGTTCAACAAAACACATGTTGCTCGAGGGGTGCCTGTCGTTCGAACAGTGGCGAAGCGTCTTGGCTGACCTATAGTCCCACCAAAGAATGCTCTAAGAACCTTTTTGTGTTGCTTGCACGAAGAAATGTCATTCGATCATGTCTGGCCGAGACTGTCTTGTTTTAGGACATCGGGTTTCTGTTCTAAGAACTTGACTCTTTGTTCTGAGAGCATTTTTGGGATCCAGGAACATGTGGCGGTAGGCCTATAGGAATGCCGGGACGGTCGGTCCCTATTGAAGACGTGGCCTAACTTCGGTCCCCGTTCTCGCAGGAGAGATGATACATTTGGGCGGCTTGGTCTTTGAGACATCTGCAGGAAAGACCCTTTTATCCCTCATGTGCCTGGCCCTCCTAGCTTAGGGCCCCTCCCACAGGGTCAGAGGGGCCCTTTTATTGCTAACAAGCCTGGAGTCGGCTGCGGGTCTGTCGAGAGCGGCGGACTTTTTCGGTATCCGCGCCCTCGCGGTCTGGATTCCAGGGCGCGATCCCGCGGATCCGCGTTCGCACGGCTGCGCTCCGCGCGGGACCTCCGCGAACAAAACACGCCCCGCAGCCGCGGGGGGGTTGCGGCGGCCAGGGGCCCGGCCCGCGGGGCCCCTGGTGCGGATGTGTGTGTGTGTGTGTTTGTTGATGTGTGTGTGTGTGTGTGTCTCGCCCACGCGTCTGCGGTGGCCCGGCAGCGGTTCCGGCAGAAACCTGGTGCTCGATTTGTTTTTTTGCCTTTTTCGGCCTCCGAGGGACGTGTATGCGGCCCCAGGACCATCAAAAGCGTGAACAACGAAACCAGATGGGCTCCGTGAATGGTCCAGGGACCGATTTTGAGCGGATTCGGTTTCGTCCCCCCTCGTGGTCGATGTGCTGGGGGACCCATCCAGTTCAGACCCCCCAGCCGCCCCAAACTAGGTGCTGGCCGGGCCCCTGGCCATCCTGATGGCGTTCCGCTTTCAGACGTCGCACAGTCGCTGGTGGAGCGCGCGCAACGAGGTGGAGCAGCTGGCCTCCGGCATCATCGACGTGGCTCTACTGGCCCCGAGCTGCGGGACCGACGCCGGGCTGCGCGGCGGCACGGCACAGGAGGAGGCGCTGGGCAACGAGACCCGCCTGCTGGGGTTGCTCGACGCTCTGTGCTACTTCGCCGAGGAGCAGCTGATGCGCGGGCAGGGGCCTCATGAAGCTAACGTGCCCCCTTCGTGGTCGCATTGGTCGAAGCACCTGTCCAGCATTGATCTCGATGAGTGCCCCCGCATGGCCACTCGTAGCCCGGTCGCTGGGTATCCCAACGGGCAGGCGGAAGTGAGGTGGTGCCTGAGCCGGATCGTGGAGTGTGTGCAGGCGGGGCAGTCCTCGGGCGCGTTCACGCCCGAGAAGGCGTCCCAGTTGCACAGTCTGGTGCAGAACATACTGGATTCTCTCCGGCTGTGCGACAGCTTCGGATGGCAGAGGGAACCTTCTTCGTACATAGTGCACTTGCGGACGTTTTTGTACATGTACTGCTTCACATTCCCTTGGACGCTTGTGGGCAAGCTTCCACCCGCCGGCGTGCTACCCATGCAGCTTGTCGTCAGCTACGCGCTATTGGGCATCGAGTTCTGTTCGCGGGAGATGGATTATCCATTCGGCGACGACGAGGGGGACGTGCCAGTTCGGCGGATTCTGGCAGGAGTCCGGGAGGAGATCTCCAGGAGCCATAACAGCTTGTGCCAGTCCCAGCCGGCGGCCGGGCCAGCGCCCCCAGAGCAAGGGCACGTCGCATACTTCCTGCAGCAGTTCGCCCTCTTCGCCACCTGCTTCCTCATCCTGCAAGGAGCTGGTCGTGGTGTCCACCGGCTCGCTATCTTCTTCACCTGTTGCCTCGTATGTCAGGAGGCGCTTCGCGGTGCCTGAGCCTGTCCTCGCTGTCACATCAGGAGTGCAGAGGGAGGACAGCCAGGTCGTTGTTTGACGGCCCCGAGGCCCAGCTGAGAGCCCACAGAGGCCAAACATAGCGAACAAAGCCGCCGTCGTGGTCTTTCCATGGCTCGAGGGGGTCTGGTCGGGCGGGGCTGGGACGAGGATAAATCCGCTCCAGAGCTTTCTGGAACTCTCAGAGCGTTCCGGAACGCTCTGAGAAGGCCGCGGCGCCCGAGACATCCTGCAGAGCTGCGGGATCTCAGAGGTTTTCGATTTATCGTCATCCGATGTGATTCTCGTCTTGGCTTCGTCTTAGGGGGTGGGAGGGCGGGGTCACCCGCAGCGGCCTGCGGGCAGGTCTTTCTCCTCCCTAGTTCTCTCCTTCATCGTCGTCTTCTCCGTATTATTCTACCTCCTCCTCCGCCTTCTTCGCCCCCTCTTCTTTCTGCTCATCATTATTACCCTCTTCCTCCAAATTCCCCTTCCTCCTCCTCTCTTCAGTCTCCGTTCTCACTTCCATCTTTCTTCCCGCTCTCATCCTTCCTTGGGCCGTGGCGCTTCCTCATGCGTGCGTGATTGTTTTTTGCGGTAGTTGGGATCATCAGCAGCAGCCTAACAGACCGTGTTTCACCGATTCATCAGCAAAGTTTTGATCAAGCTTCCGCGGCGGCAGCGTCTTGGCGCTCCTCAATTGCAGGCTCGTTCCTGCGGAGTGTGGTTGGCCTCGCCCGTGATCGTTTTGCGTGCCGTTTGGCAAGTCCGAAATTTCTATCACGTGGCAGTCTTGCGACATCACCCAGATCCAGCCACGCGCAGAGGGGGGTGGGAGGAAGGGGGAGGCCTTCTTAGAAGCACCCCTGCTCCTTAGAAGGCGCGGGCCTTGTCTGCAGCTGCAAGGCCAGCGCCTTCTAAGAAGCAGTCTCCTTCTCAGAAGCCCTCCCCCCTCCCTCCACCCCCTTGTGCGCGCCGCCACGACGAGGCGGGATACCAACATCGCTGTGCAACGTCAACTATGGAGTGAACCCTGCGGTCGTGGGATGGCTTCTGGCTTGTGGTTTCCGTCTTCTCTTCTCCAGGGCAGGCTCGTTCTGGAATCTCTGCTCCCCCTTGTGCGCGCCGCCAACAGATCATGCGCATCTGTTGCTGCCGATGCTGCGCGGGCCCGCCCGTGCGGAGCGCGCCAGCGGCCAGGGAGGGCTCGGTCCCCGGGCGCCCTCCGAGAGGTTTTTTTTTTTGTCGAGCCGCCGGCCCGGGAAGTCCCGACCCTCTCCCTGGGGGTAGTCTTACGTCGGGCCTGTCCCCCACACAGGGGGATGTTCGACGAAAAAGTAAGCATGCCCCAAACATATCCCAAACAGGTAAAAACATACTAAACGGTCAAACAAATTCAAAAGGTCAACACAAATCCGAAAGGTCAACAACCATCCAAAAGGTCAAATAGTTCAAAAAATATTCCAATAGTCCCCAGACTATTTTTTGGAGCATTTTCTGATCATCTTGGGGGTATTTCTTATTCTTCGTCGAAAATTCCCCTGTAGGGGGACATGCCCGACTTAAGGGTAGTTCACCGTCGCGGATTCGTGTTTGCTGGCCCCAGGGCCCCTCGGGCGGGCGGTCGTGGGGGTGACCCAGAAGGGGAGTGAAGAAAATGGCCCTCATGTGGGCCTTTATAAAAAGGGCCCCTCCTGCAGCCAGCTGGTGCCCACCAACGGGGGCTCCAAAGGGCTCCTTTGGATTTTTTTCTTAACCCCCAATGTGTGCCGCTCCCCGTTAGCTCCCGAGGCCTGGATCTGGAGGAAGTATCAGGCAGGGAGCCTCGTCTGT